AGAATCAGACCAAAATGTTCGAAATTATCACCAAGCGTGGAGATTTACGGCTATTTTCCGTCGAATTTCGCACCAAACGTCAGCTGCCGAAATGTCGCCAGATTGGTGGTATTCACCGTAGTGATACATAGTGTTTAGTATTTTTTTGTTACCAAACGAATTACTAGTGTGTCTTTGCAACAAAAGATGGCGCTGCTGTCTGATGATTCAATTATGGGTTCTATGGTAACGAACTTTTCAACTCATAAATTATGTGATTTGTATTCTATTCTTTTTTTTTTTTTTTTTAATTGCTACAGTGCTAAGAGTGAAGTGTGATGTGTCGTCACGTAGACGGCATTCCTTCTATTTGAAAAGTGTTATGTAAAATAAATAAGTGATATTACAGTCTGCTTACCTTTGTTTTTGTGAACTTATTCTTAACATTCTTGGTCCGTGCGACCGAAGAGAAGAGGTAGCGAGCTTTGGATATTATGTGATTTATTCAAATATTAGCAAGTTAAATCATTTTCGATTTGTGGAGTAATAATCAGCTTAGTGTACTTTTGATTCGATTTGTGGATTATGCGTGTGGCATCTGTGGTGAAATCAGTTTCGATTTGTGGAATATTCCCGTGGCATGGTGTAGCGTAGAAACCTCAACATTGGGGTGAGTACGTTCCAATATTTCATCTTCTTCTGCTAGAGTTGTTAGTATAATATTTATTGTTATTCATAATGGCTGATTTGAAACCAGTTTAACTAAAAAGAAGGTTCTAAAAAGCAATATAACAACGTTCAAAGGCAAGGTAAATTCGAATTTAGAACAAGCAGAAATTTTAGAGGTAAAGTTGTTCGAAACAAAACTAAATGCTTTTAACAGTGAGCTTCGTTCTATTTATGAGGAAATATTTTTGTGTTGTCCTAAAAAAGATTGTGATACATTCATTACGGAACAACAAACAATACAAGAAACTTTAGATGAATTATGAATAACTATAAATAAAAAGTTACAGAAACCTTCCATTGACTCTGTTATCGAAACAAGTAGTGTAGCAAAAGTAAATTCTTCTGACGTTCGATTACCAAAATTAGAACGTTCTACCTTTACAGGGGGAAATATAGAAGAGTGGATTAGTTTCTATGATCTTTTTAAGGCTAGTGTAGATAACAATCCGAATATTTCTAAATGTCAGATGTTTCAATATTTAAAGGCTTCTTGTAAAAAAAAGGCTCTGTCTATTATTGAGTCAATTCCTATTTCTGATGTTAATTATGATATAGCGTTGCAACGTTTACAGGAACGTTATTCTAATCAAAGAGAGTTAACTAATGCATTAATTCGTAAAATGTTTAATTTGTCAATTGTTTCTGATTCAGCTCAAGCTATTTTACATTGTGTTGATGTAGTGAATGAATGTGTACGCTCTTTGAGAACTCTTAAACTAGAAGTTTCTGATCTTTCTGATGTTCTTTTTGTTTATCTGATAACTGAGAAATTAGATAAAAACATAAAATTTTGGTGGGAAAGAACTTTGAAAAAAGATGAATTAGGTACTTTAGATAATTTACTCGAGTTTCTAAAAGACCACGCTAGAACCCTTCAGAATAGTAAAAACCAATCTAAAGATTTTAGGAAATTTTCTAATTCCAAAGTAACTTCTTTAGTGTCAAGTAAAAACAGTTATATAATGTGCAAGGAAGATCATTCTCTTCACAAATGTGGTAAGTTTTTAAACTTAAGTGTCCAAAAAGAATCGAATTTGTTAAGAAACACAAACTTTGTTTTAATTGTTTATCTTCTCAGCCTCATTTAGTGAAAAACTGTCGTAGTTTACATAAATGTATGACGTGTAAGTTACCTCATCATACTGTTCTTCATTTTGATCAAAATATCAAAGCTAGTGAAAATGAGAAACCAAAACAAACGTCCTCACTCACACGGAGTGTTCTTAACAAAGAATGAAGTCGTTACAAATGCCACAACATGTACAGGACAATTTAGTTATTCTAAAGGTGAATCAAAACGTGTATTACTGTGTACTGCTCTCATTAAAGTTAGTGATTCCAATGGTAAAGCCATCCCTTGCAGGGCTTTACTAGACTGTGGCAGTGAAACCAGCTTTATAAGTGAAGCGTGTGTCAGAAACTAAAGTTAGGTAGATTTAACAAAAAATTTGAAGTGTCGTGCCTTGGTTGGTTCAACACTGTAACAAGTGGAGAAGTGGAATTAATCTTTATCCCGCACTTTGAGTCAAATTCCAAATTTCGAACATATGCATTCGTGATTCCAAGGATAACTTCAGATGTGCCTAACGTGTCACTTCCTTCTAAAATTGCGAATCATTTTGACGCTCTAGTCTTAGCTGATCCTAAGTTCTATGAAAGAAAACCTATATAGATATTTTGTTAGGTGTAAATGTATTTTTTACTATAAGGCTTAAGGGAGACATCATAAAGAGAGGAGAATCATTACCCTTTGCAATTTGTTCTCAGTTGGGTTTGGATCATTTCCGGGAACACTATTACTGATGATTCGAATCTAACTAACACTTTTACAGTGAATAATCTTCAGTTGAATACAAACGAATTAGTTGAAAGATTTTGGTCTTTAGACTCCATTCCTGAAGTCAAACGTATTTCATTTGAAGATAAAAAGTGTGAAGAGTTCTTTAAAACAACACACTTCTGTGATCAAAATGGTCGTTATGTAGTGAAACTTCCATTTAATGATAACCCTTCAAGGTTGGGTAATTCTAAAGATCTTGCTTTAAAAAGACTTAAATCTTTAGAGAGAAATCTCTTAAGATTTCCTGATACATATGATATTCATAAACATTTTATGAAAGAATACTTGGATCTCGGGCACATGGAACCAGTCCGTAGTTCAGAGTCCCCAAGTCAGACATACTACATGCCACATCATGCAGAAATTAAGGAATCTAGCTCTACGAGTAAAATACGTGTGGTATTTAATGCTACTAGTAAGTCTTCATCAGGACTATCTCTCAACGACATATTGATGACAGGTCCCAGAATACAACAAGAGTTGTTTCCCGTTTTGGTCAAATTCAGATGTTACCGAGTAGTTGTCACAGCTGATATCATGAAAAACTTTAGACAAATTCTAGTTAATGAAGAGGAAAGAAACTTTCAAAGGATATTTTGGCGGGACCGTCCTAGTGATCCTATTCAAGAATTTCGACTTAATACTGTCACATACTGCACTGCCTCGGCTCCATATTTGGCTACTCGTACTTTATACCAACTTGCCTACGATGAGCAAAATAACTATCCTTTAGCTTCGGAGGCTGTACTTCAAAACTTTTTTGTAGAAGATTGCTTGGTAGATGCTAAAAAAACTGAAGAGTGCAAAAATCTAGTAAATCAACTCTTGCAAATGTTAGAACGTCAATGATTTCTTCTGCGTAAATGGTCATCCAATGACTTGTCAGTGTGAGAGAATATACCCCAGGAGTTGAGAAATGATTCTGAGGCTATGAAAATTCAAGAGTCTTAGTCAAAGTTTAGTGAAAAAATAGCTCAGTCAAAGTTTTAGGAATTAATTGGAACACCCCGTGAAGACTACTTTAACTTTTCCGTATCCATTTCTGGTGAAATGTTTAAATACTCTAAAAGATTCTTTCTGATTTAGCGAAAATATTTGACCCATTCGGTTGGCTTGCTCCTTGTATTATTTATGTCAAAATCTTGATACAAGACATGTGGAAACTCCATTTATTCGTGGGATGAACCTATTTCTAAGATGAGTTTTGTTAGTGATGAGATTGCTAACAAATGGAAGATTTTCCGAAATGATTTACATCTTATTCAACAATTAAAATACCGAGATTTGTTTTGATTCCTGACGTAAACTGTATTGATATTTGTGATTTTTGTGATGCTTCCGAGAAAGATTACTGTGCAGTAATTTATTTGCGTTCAGTTTCACGTAATTTGGACATCAAGGTCACACCCTTAACATAAAAAACGAGAGTTGCCCCTCTGAAGGTGCAATCACTACGACGATTGGAGTTATGCGCCGCAGTCTTGTTAGTGAATTTACTTACATCAGTATTAGAACATTTAGAGTTTCCTATACGAAATATTCTGGCCTTGACAGATTCAACTGTTGTATTGTCCTGGATTTCTGCAGAACCATACCGTTGGGTTCCCTTTGTTGCAAACCGCGTTGCTAAAATACAGAATACAATTCCTAATGTAAGGTGGAACCATATCAATGGAAAGCGGAACCCAGCTGATTCAGGTACAAGAAGAATGTTTCCAGCAGAATTTCTGAAGTGTGAGCGATGGTTCATTGGACCTACTTGGTTATTTCACAAGATTCCGAACAAGATTCGAACCGTGTCACAAGATTTCGAACCGTGTCCTGACAGTGAACATCTTGCTGATGTAGATTATGAAGGAGTTCGTAGAAGAAGAAAGAGAAAACTTGCATTTCAGTATCTTGTGCAGTAAAGTAAGGAAAATGTCATTTTTAAACGGTATTCATCTTGGACAAAATTACGTCGTATAGTTGCATTATGCCTAAGATTTATTTACAACTGTCGAAACTTCTGCGAAAATCGTTTGAGAGGTTTCTTACAACCGATGAGCTTCGATTAGCTACAAAAACAGTGATAAAAAATGTCAAAGAATCATATTTTCCTCAAGAGCTCTCTTATGTAAAAACATCGAGAGAATTAAAAGGTGTGAGCAGCCGAGTAATACAATTAACTCCCTTCCTTGATGAAGAAGGCATCATTCGAATACGTGGTCGCTTAAAAAATGCAAACATTCCTGAAAACAGCAAACATCCTACTTTGCTTCCAAAGGAAGGATATGTCACTAATATCATCGTAACTCATTAACATGTCAATTATTTGCATGCTAGTCAAGAGTTATTAATAAGCACTATACGAATGCAGTTTTGGATTCTTGCGAGAGAAGAGTAGTGAGAAAGATTATTCACAGGTGTATTCCTTGTATTAAAAAATCGAGGGAAGACTGTGACCCAGATAATGGGTGATTTACCCTCTCCCAGAGTTCAACCATCAAGACCTTTTGCAGTCACCGGTGTTGATTATGCTGGTCCATAAACAAACGTATCCATTTTTGTATGTTTCTCAACAAAAGCGGTACACTTGGAGTTAGTCAATCTATCAACTTCAACGTTTTTAGCAGCTCTAAAAAGATTTATCGCCCGAAGAGGTAAACCATCTAAAATTTCGAGTGACTGTGCTACTAACTTCAAAGGTGCTAGTAAGGAACTGAAGGGGATTTATAAAAATGCAGCTCGCATTGAGAAAAGTAGTGAATTATGTGACTACATTACCTCAGAAGGTATAACGTGGTTATTTAATCCTCCGGCATCTCCTCACTACGGTGGCTTGTGGGAATCTAATGTGAAATCCATGAAATTTCATCTTAAACGAGTATTAGGATCCACACTTCTAATTTACGACGAGGAATTTTTAACAGTGCTTACACAAGTGGAAGCGTGTATGAATTCCCGTCCTCTTTGTGCGATGTCTAGTGATCCAAACGACTTTAGTGCATTGACTCCAGGTCATTTTCTGATTGGAGCCCCTTTGCTTGCCATTCCGGAATCTGACTTGAGTGATGTGAAATCTTCACGTTTTAAACGTTGGTCTCTAGTTCAACAGACTGTGCAACATTTTTGGAAACGATGGTGTGCAGAAAATTTAACAAACTTCAACAACGTGCTAAGTGGTTTCGTGCGTCTCTAAATCTAAAATGTGGTGATTTAGTTCTGATCAAAAACGAACAACTGCCTCCAAACCAATGGAAAATTCGAAGAATTGCCTTAATTCATCCCGGTAGTGATAAAAAAGTTCGAGTGGCTACAATCCATACAGCCGCTGGTGATTTCAAACGAGCTGTTACTAAATTGTGTCTTATCCCCAATCATGTGTGTGTGTATTTAATTATGGTAAAGCACACTAGGGCTGTCTGCCTAAGGGGAGTGATGCTTTCGTGGAGGACTTTCTAAGGGAAACTGGCTCGTATACATTATCCCCAATCATGACTAATATGAACTATAAACTAATGACTTTTTCATATTATAGAACATTAATTTTAGTTATATTTTCAATTAATTTTTTTGTTAATGTTATTATGTATGCTTTAACTATTTGTCTTTTTTGAACCCTTAGAAGGCTTCAAGGCCGGGGGCTATGTTTAGTATTTTTTGTTACCAAATGAATTACTAGTGTGTCTTTGCAATAATAGATGACGATGCTGCCTGATGATTCAATTCTGGTTGCTATGGTAACGAACTTTCAACTCATAACTTATGTGATTTGTATTCTATTCTCTTTTTTTTTTTTTTTTTTTTTTTTTTTTTTTTTTTTTAATTGCTACAGTGCTAAGAGTGAAGTGTGCTGTGTCGTCACGTAGGCGGCATTCATTCTATTTGAAAGTGTTATGTAAAATAAATAAGTGATATTACAGTCCGCTTACCTTTGTTTTTGTGAACTTATTCGTAACACATAGACTTGCCCCTTTAATGGAATTTCTCCGAAAATACTTCGGGGTTCCTTTTTTCTTTCACAGAAGCAGTATTACAATGTACGTATAATTTTACTAAAATTATTTACACATATACAGAATTTGTTTAGGAAGAATTATTGAGGAAAATTAAAGAAACAAAGAGTTTTAAAGATACAAAATTATATGAATTGTACAGACCAATCTATTACGCATAACTTAGCCTAGCACGTAGCACAAAAATGTTAACATAGCAGACTTTGTAACTATACCAGATATATTATATAATTTTAAACATAGCCAAAAATGCTAATACAGTGGTTTGGTAGTTACATTCTCTACAGCATCTGTCTTTAGGGCTATGCAATTACTTTTATTTACCTAGAACTAAGACATATCTTACAATCTGCATTCAAATAAGCAAATGAAAATAGTAAAAATAAAATAATTTGGGTAATATGTTCTTAAAACAAACTCTGAAAATACAATATTTGAGGAAGCAAACTAAACAGAAGGAAAAGAGAAAGTTAATATTGCTGCTACCAATAAGTTTAAATTAGGATACCTTAGATGACAGGAAAAAAGAGTAAAGAAAAATGCACACACAAAATCTGTTGTAATAACATGTATGTAAAGAGGAAACATTTCTATTAGAACTTCATCACATAATGCTTTCCTCTGTAAAAAATATATGAGAAAGAGCAGGGACATTATATATACATATAATATATATATATATATATATATATCTTTGGAAATGCAACATGGTAAAAATAATTCGTACTTTATATTGTTTATTAGTTTTATTAAAATAACATAGAACATTCTCTGTTTCCTATCTTTCTTATACGAGGGCCATCCAGGAAGTAGATTACGTTTCCGTCTGTGTCCGCTAGGGGCGGGGCTAGCGCGGCCATCTTGGGGTAGAGCGTTGCGCAGCTCAGTCGGCATCTAGCCGTGCTAGTGAGAGGTTTCGTGCTGTGCTCCGTTCAGATACTGTGACGGTTTGAAATGTCTGCGTAATTGAAAATCCCGCGAGCTGCGAGGTGCGCTCAGTAATAAGGTTTCTGACTGCAAAAACTGTAAACCGATAGAAATCTATCGGCAGCTTCGTGAAGTGTATGGGGACAACATTATCACTGAAGGTGGAGTGCGTCAGTGGGTCATAAGATTTCAAAATGGCCGAACCAATGTTCACGCGAAGATCGAAGTGGGAGACCCAGCATAGTGACCGCCGAACTTCTCGAAAAAGGTCGATGCTAAAGTCCGTGAAAATCGAAATTTCACAATAACGGAACTTTCTTTGAGTTTTCCACAAATTTCGCGAAGTTTGTTGCACGAAATCATCAGCGAAAAGCTTGGTTACCAAAATTTTGTGCAAGAGGGTTCCAAAAATCTTGACAGAACCACAAAATCAGCGAATGGCTGCAGCGTTGAACTTTTTGGACGCTTTAAGGATGGTACTCTTTACTCGATCGCATCGTACTGGTGACGAAACATGGGTGACCTATTCCCTATTCCAGCAATGAAGAAGTGGGGCTATGCAGCGTTTGATGACGACGCACAGCTGCAAGAAGAAGTGGTTGAAGGCGCAGGCGGCCGAATTTTCGACGAAGGAATTTCCAAGCTCGTACGATAAATGCCTTAATTTGTATGGGGACTATGTAGAAAGTAGTATTTGAGTGGGCTTTCATCTGTATATAATAAATTTTTTATACTTTGTTTATTTTTATTCCAAAACGTAATCTACTTTCTGGATACTCGTATATTTTCTTAAGGAAAAAATGAGCGCTTTGATGTATGAATAACTTTTCAGTTGATACTGCGCTTCTAAGGATAAACGAACAAGGGTAGTAAATAAAATAAAATGTATTTAAATTTAACATTTTGAAGCGAAATAGACGAGAAAAGAAAACGGAACTAACGATGCTTCGCCGTATTTGGTCGTGAAATAAAATTTTACTAGGGGAATTGCAAGGCACAGCTTAACATACTCAAGTTCGTTAGTTAATGCAAACATCTCTGGAAATGCAAAGAGTATTTTTTCCTTTGGCCATCTGCATCCAGGCAACTTTGAATAAGTTATTCCTAATGTAAAAGGTTTTCTTAATCAAGGATTAATTTTGAGAATGTGATCCTATCAGAATTCTCTTTTCTTTTGCGAGTTTAAAGAAACTTTCGTTTATTCAAATCTCTAAATTAATTTTTAGGAGCATTAAACATTTCATAGAAGTTCAAAACAAAAAGTTTAACGTAAAATGGTACTAATTTACTAAAAACTGCTGCATTCGTGAAGCATTTAAATTCATGGAATTGTTTTATTTTTCAGATATTCCAAATAACTTTTGACACTTGTTGGGATTAATTTATTATTACACATTTTCCGTATGTTTTGTCTTCAAAACTTTAAATATTCTCTTTACATTTTGTTCTATAGTATGGCGATTGAATTTTTATTAAATTAAATACATGTCCTAAGCAAAAGTTATCAAAATTGTAAAGTCATTTTCTAAAATCTGCTGCTTTTCCCATACAAAACTGAAATCAAACTGAAACGCATTAGAAATACTTCCTTTATTAATGCTGATTTATTGATCGAAACTTATTCAATGTCCTCTTCTCTATAGAGTGATATAATCTAGAGGTATAATGGAATAGCATATTTCCAATGCTACAAAAATATATTCGAAAACATTGTATAATTTTAGTGCTTTAAAAGAATTAATTGATTTTTTAATTTGGCCATCCTTTTTCCCCAACTGGTTTCTTTTCGAAACTTCATTATACATCACTTTAAACTGTCATGAATTCGTTTTATTTTACATTATTTTACATTATAGTGTATAAATTAAAAAAAAAAAAAAAAAAAAAAAATAGTAATTTCACATAAAACGCACTTTGCAAGTTGTAAGAAAGCAACATTCAAATTTAAAACTACAGACTTTGCCTCTTTATTCACGAAGCAAGTTAAGCTTAGTGTCACCATATGTTTCCTTTATTTCAATGTAATCTTATGTGAGATTAATAAACAAAATGCTGCGTTGAATTCAAACGTTTAAATTTTTAATAACACAACTTTACACATCACAAGGTTTGTTTTACCATACGCGGAGCATTTCTATAAGGGTCGTTCAAATTAAAATACGCCTACAGTCGGTTTGAGAAATGGTTTAATGATATTAATATAAAATATTATGCAAATGAAAGAAGTAAAACAGACATAACAGATAGGCTAGACAAAGTCGCTTTCTAGGTTGAAATAAACGTCTCAGCGATCAAAGAAACGTTGGATACCCCGGATGAAGAAGCTCCGTGGTTGGTTGTGGAACCAATTTTCAATGGCAGCTAGGACCTCATTATCGTCGGCAAATCGCCGTCCCTTCAGATATTTCTTGAGTGGGCCGAAGATGGGGTAGTCACACTAATAGAGTTCCGGGTTGTAAGGGGAATGTTCGAGAACCTCCCAGCGGATTTGCCCTAACAATGTTTGGCACGCCAGAGCCACATTAGGACGAGCATTATCATTCAAGAGGATAACTTCGCGTGACAGCATGCCACATCGGCGGTTCTTGATATTTTGTCTCAGTTTCTGCAATGTGGCACAGTATGTGGAAGCAGTGACAGACGTGCCCTTAGGTAGCCATTCCAACAGTAACGGGACATCGACGTCAAAGAAGCACGTCAACATGACTTTACCAGCTCTAGTGGACATGCGAGACTTCTTCGGGGGTGAGGATGGAGTGTTGCCATTCCAAGCTAATAGTTTTGTTTGCTGGATCAAAGTGATGGCACCATGCTTCATCAACGGCAATAATCCTTGAAAGAAATTGGTTCCCTATTTCATGGCACCACATAAGGTGCTGCAGGGAAACAGACGTGCGATGAATCTTCTGATCCTCTGTCAAATGTTTGGCACTCACTGCGCACAAACCTTGCTTTATTGCAAATTTTCACGCAGTAATGTGTGCACACTTCCTATACTCATAGACATTTCCTCGCCTGTTTTTTGAGTGGTGATTTCCCGATCCATTCTCAAGAAGCGGTTCAAATCTGTAACTGCTTCCTGGGTGACCACCACATGCGTTACGGTTGACAAGTTCATGGCCTGTCGTCAGTAATGCTTCTGCCACTATGAAAATCCCTACACCATCGGAATACCGATCTGCGTTTCATACATTCCATGCCATATGCCATATACATTTTCTATTCGACGATAGATTTAGGAAGCACTCACATTTTT